TGACAACAGTAAAGCGACGAGAACCGCGACCAAAGATGAAGTCAGCATGCACGTAGACACCATGATGAAAGAGATCCAAGATGGAGTACTGAACGAAGTTGATGTTAATAGTGAGCGAGTAGTATGAATGTGAGAAATAGTAGAGTGCTTCAATGGACTGAAATTCGTGCTGCAATGTTGTGTTGTGCAGATGCGTTTCCTGAGTTCCGTATCATGACTCGTAACTACGAACGATGGTCATCATTGGGAGCATTCTACTATGGACTATGTTATTCACTTTGTGATCTCCTATGGGAGCCATGGAGTTCTACACCTCTTCAATCTCAAATTCAGCAATTGAAAGAACAAATTGGGTGAATGAAATTCAATTTTCGTTGAGTGGAAGGGTTTTTTCCACTGAATGAAAAATGAGCTTTCATTGGTCGAAATTGGTCTTGTGTTCGACGACTTTGAACTCGCGTTGTTGAATTCATAAAGTTCGTTCACGAACTTGAACTTTCATTTCGAATTCGAACTTTCACTCCATGAAAAACTCCTTTCACTCAACGAAAATCAAGTTTCATTTATTCAATTTGTTCTTTCACTTGCCGAATTTGAGATTGAAAAGGTGTAGAAGGATATTCTTGTGAATACAGGTTGGATAGACATTTATACTTCAGCATTCCACAGTCTAGTATTGTGTCGTATTCGGGAGATCAAAGTTTCGGTCTAGACCAAACAGGGGTTCAATGGTCATCATAGAGACTAACCAGTCTGCGCAAGTGACTAGAAGGTTCCTCCTATCATGGAGGTATTCTCTAATCTAAAGGTTGACATAGCACTATCTAGATGGAATAGTAGCACAGCATCATCGCATGGCCCAACTGCAGGTAACACAAAACCGACCCTAGTGTACAGAGAAGTGTTCAAATTTAATTAGTGCCCTCACGCCTCGCAAGACGCATCAATGTATCATACAGTAGTATCGTGTCAGAAGCAACTGGTATGTACTGAAGGAGTTAAAAGGTCTTCTCTTCGATGATATAAGAGATACTAGAA